GATACAGCAAACGCAGTTGTGGTGGCTGTCTCACCTGCTCGTCATCAAATGCATTCAGGAAAAATCTTTCCCATGCAGATGCGTTGGAAGCCGCAGCAGTTCACAGCTGGCTATGCGCAAACGAAAACCTCAGGCGCAGTAGTTCACAGCTGGCATAACTGGAGGTGAAGTTTTCGTTTACACACAGGAAGCATGTTTTCGGCCAGCTGTGCAGTTATTATTTCTCCGGCAATGAGTCTAGAATGCATCTAAAAGCAGATTTGCTGCTGCGGTATGGTGCAAGAATAACTTCATAATGTCTTTATGCTCATAGCTGCGGGACTGATTTCCTGGATGCTCTGAATACATAGAAGAAAGTGGGTATCAATGATTCTTGATCATTGTATACCACTACGGATTGTAAAGCCATCTTCCGAAAACCTGCAAGCTCTTTCCTGCACTACAGTTTTTCTTGCAATTTGTGAACCCTGGAATTTACAGCTTCTAGCGTAGCTGAGCTGCACTTGCAATAAGCTCACTTCTCTGGCTCACGCTTATACTCCTTTTCGGCTCTGTGATGGCCCGACTGAACCTTTTCGTCATCTCGATGCCGTTGATAAATGGTGGCTTGTTACTCCCCACACTTACTGCGTATCTGGGAAGCATACCTGTGCGTATCGCTCCATCGTTCTTGCTTATTGTATTTTGTTTCATCATATTGCTGCCAAATTTGTTTGCCATTAATTGCGGCTAGTTTTATTCTTCTCTGTGATTGGCCACAGTGGTCTGCTCCAGCGATCCCGCGGGTGAACCATTGGGCCACTTGGGGAGTCCCAGGAATTGGTCCACTTGTTCTCTCTCGGATCTACGCGAGCAGCTCGGGGTAATCTGCACTCCTGCGGGGCTATTGGGGGCTCTCTCTGGGGCCGTTGGGCCTCCTGCAAGTTGCCCAACTCGAGATCTTTTCACGGGGATCCCCCAGCTCGCGCTTGAGGCTGCGTGTCCCGGGGCCTCAGCAGCAGATGAGATACAGGGACCCTCACGTGGACGCGCGGCCAACAGTGATGAGGGTGAAGTGAGCAGGCACTACAATAGAGCTTGCTTGTGATTCATAGAGGGTAGCTAGCTGATGGCCTATAAGCAGTTAAGAGGTTGGGACGCTGATTGAGCACTGTAGCGTCTTACTAGTAAAATAGAAAAGCAATTTGCTAGCAGAAGAACATGGGTAAACTAGAAATGTCTACGAATACTCTAGGATTGAGGCTGCCGACAAAGCCGGCACTGGTGCGGGTCAGATCCTCACCTGGCCAACAAAGCAAGAATCATAAGGAGTGAGTTTTGAGAACTTGAACCAAAAATGGTCGTTTTAGTCAATTGGTAGACGTTACAAGACAAATGCGTCGATAGTAGAGAGCATTTCATAGAACGCCCAAGTTGTGGGCCAGGCAGCATTGTAGTCGCCGCAGCAAACGCGGCGTAGTGCAGAAGGGCCCTGTAGTGCACAACGCCTACTGCTGCGACTACGCTCCTGCCTGTCCCACGAGTAGAGGCCTACGACAAGCTTCTACCTTCAGCGCACCTCCTTGAAATGGCAGTCCAAATATCACATAATGTACTTATTTCTAGGTTTTTCAAATCCACTGTTCTCGAAAATCCCTCGGCGCTCTTGCCTCCTTGGCCCGGTGTCGGCGCTATCGCCAGCCCCAATCTCCAGGTATTCACAGACACATCTGGTGTATATACACGCTTATTTACTGATAAATTACTTTGCTTGGATACTAGTAAGAAGTTCCTGTCTTCGTTCAGTGTTATGACCTCTGTTAACTCTCCAGCTAGCCATCTTCTTAAGATCACCAGCAAGCCCTATTGTAGTACATGTACACTACAGCCCCTGCAGGGCTGCAGTGCTACAGCCCCTGCAGGGCCTGTAGTACACTGCGCTCTTTGCAGCGTCTACGATGCTGCCGACCCATAACTCTGACATTCTATGAAATCTTCTCTTCTACAGACGCATCGGTCTAGCAACTTCAGCTAAATTATTGAAAATACCATTTTGTTTCAAGTTCTCAAAATCATATTTTAGAGAAGTCACTTCTCATGGTTCTTGCTCTGCTGGTCCATTGAGGATGTGACCCGCACCGGTGCCGGCGTTCTCGGCAGCCCCAATCTTCGGGCATTCGCAGGCTCTTCCAATTTATACATGTTCTTCTCCTAATAATTTGCTTTTCTATTTCACTAGTAAGACGGTACAACGCTCAATCAGCGTCTTAACCTCTTAACCGCTTATGCGTCATCAGTTAATTATCCTCTATAGGTCATCAGCAAGCGCTGTAGTACTGCCTGCGCATTACAGGGCCTGCCCCAGGGGCCCTTGTCCTTCAAGGCCTCTGTGGGGGGCCCCCTTGTGGGGGGCCCCCATAGAGGCCTGCTTTATTGTCTTAATTTCTTCGAGAGTGGGCGAAATAGTCTAGGATGCTTGGGTCGGTCCTCTGTTGGCGGCCCTCTTGTGGGGGGCCCCCATAGAGGCCTGCTTTTCTTTTCTGAGAGCTTCTGATCTGATGATGGTCCCTCGCTGGCGGGGCTGAAGTGACTGAGGAGATCTAAGCCTTCTGGTGCATGCAAAGTGGCAGCCTCACATTTTGAGGATTTTGCGTGCATAAGTCGCCCGGAGAACAAATAAAGGAACTCCAGGGGATTTACAGAAATAAGTAAAGAAATAAAAAAGAATGAAATAAGTTAGACGCAAATGCTTCGTCCCAAGCTTCTCTGATCGAGACAAAGAAAACCCCAGAAAATACCAAACAACGAAATTCTGCAACTCAAATAAGCGTCGCGCCAGTTTGGATTTTTAGTTTTAATTATTCTCTTAAATGGGTCTTTTGTTCCTAGGTATGAGCACATTAGTTTGCAGTCGCCCGCAGCAGCCACGAGTTTCTTCGAAGCTTTTAAACACAACTGAAAGTGGAATTTCGAGTGGTGGAATGCAATTTGAAAACACAAGGTGGTCAAGAACTCAAGTGGCAGTGGAGCAGGCGCAGCGACAATGAAGAAGTTCTATTTAGAGGGAAGTGAACGGCCTTCTAATAAGCTACTTAAAAAAAGGTCCTCATATTCATGATTGGGAGTATTCAAAAACAATTTATGTCGGTTTTACTTGTTGTTGTTGGTTTATTTCCGCTAGTTCGAAGCCCCGGACGTGCGTGGTGGACTAGCCAGGTTTCACAGGGACACAAATTGGAAACCAGGACCAAAATATAACACTAGTTAAGCCCGAAAACAATACACGTGTAAGCTGTATGCGGCCATGCATGCAGCGCACGCGGCTAACGTATTCAGGTGCATGCGCTCTCGAATTGAATGCGGGGCATGCAACGAAAACAAGAATAGTTAAGGCACTCCAGAAGCCTGAGAGAAATATTTGAAATTAAAAATTCAAAGTTTAAAGTGTTAGAAAAGAGGCACACAAGAAGTTGGAGAGAAACAAGGGCAAGTTGCTCTAGAACCAGACCACCAAGCCGCAGTCGGCAGTGGAGGAAACTAAGTCAATAATAGAATAAAAGTGCTCAAACATTCATGTCTAGCGTGTGATTTGAAGAATATAAACAGTAATTAAAGTAATTCATCATCGTATCGACAATAATTGAAGTAATTCTCCAGCTTTCCACAGGAAATGCTGCTGGGTTACTTCCGTGCAAGTTCTGCGAGCTGGTCTGTACACTCCAGCGCCGCAGCAGGGCTGCGGCGACTCGTGTGCGAAGCCGAGACGAGTTGTCGTTAAAAACAGCAAAAATGAGGAAATTAAATTTATTATATCGTTTAATTTCAATATTATTGTTAAAATATCATGAAGAAGCCCCGATAAAAGTCGAGGAAGACCCTCTTGTGCTGCGCTCCTGCGCGCGGCATCGATAAGTGTTCTGCACAATTCCTAGAGGGGATTCTTTGGAGGTTACACCGGTACTTTCCGGTTTTTATTTCAGAAATATACTTAATTATAAATTGAATTTAATATATGTAATTATAAATTGAATATAAACAAAGAACCCCTGTTGAAAGAATTTAGGTGTTTCAATACGCGGCTTGCCTGTCGTGCGCCAGTGCAGCCTGATCTGCTGCTGCTGCTGCTGCTGTTGCAGCAGCAGCAGCAGCAGATCACGCTAAGCGCGATTTGTTGCAGCACTGGATCTCTTTCTCTGCAGCAGTTTTAATTGTTCTTTAATCTTTAATGATTTTAAATATATATATTTCCATCAATTAAAATAAATATATTTCCATCAATTTCCATCAATTAAAAGCACAGCAATTGATAGATTCCTCGCCGCGTGAGCAGCAAGGGTTTACTCCTGATGTTAAACCCTAAACCCTAAAACCCTAAACCCTAAACCCTAAATCCTAAACCATAGACCCTAAACCCTAAAGCCTGAACTTGGGGCAGCGGTTAAACTAGTTACGGTCTTCTAGTCCTCGCATACAAGAAAGCCGCCAAACCCTAATCTCCAAACCCTAAACCCTAAACCCTAAACCCTGGAGCTTTAATCCTTCGTCCTACTTACAAGGGAAATAAGACATGTAGGGTTTATTATTTTCTTGGCTAGCTTACTAAACCCTAATTATTTCGCTGGGCTTGTCTTATGCTGAGACCTAGGGTTTAGCGTTTGAGATCTAGGGTTTAGGGTTTGAGATCTAGGGTTTAGGGTTTGAGATCTAGGGTCTAGGGCTTGACATCTAGGGTTTAGGGTTTAGGTTTTGACTGCCCCTTGAGAAAGCCCCAAAGCTCAAATGTGCTCTTGCAGCCAAATGCAAAGAAGTGCAGATTAATGTGGGAAGATAATGTGAAATAAAACCCTAAACCCTAAACCCTAAACCCTAAAACACAAAACAAATTAAAAATGTGCAAAATAGAGTAATCGAAGCTTTTAAAAATGTAGGCTTTAACGGGAGTCAATTCATGAGGTCGCGGCTCATGAGTCTCCGTAAACCCTAAACCCTAAACCCTAAACCCTAGCAAACATGCAGGGGCCTCACGAGCTCCCGTTGCTGCTGGTGTCGTCACCGGATGAGCTGCTGCTGTTGCTGCTGCTCTGCGCATTTTCGCTGCTGCTGTTGCTGCTGCTGCTCTGCTGCCGCGCTGGCCCTTCAGAGCTGCTGCTGCTGCTTCCGGTGCTGCTGCTGCTCCCGCTGCTGCTGCTGCTGCTGCTGCTGCTGCGGGCAGGGGCTGGCTGCTGCAGTGCGCGAACAGAGGGCTGCGGTGTTTCCTCATCAGACGAGCTGCTGCTGATGCTGCTGCTGCTGCTACTGGCGGAGGAGCTAGATGACTTCTTTGCTGCTGCTGCTGCTGCTGTTGCTGCTGCTGCGGGAGCTCCGGTTGCCCGCTGCGGTTGAGCGGCCGATGACTCTGTTTCGCTGCTGTTTCCCTCTGCACTGCTGCTGCTGCCGCTGCTGCCACTGCTGCTGCCGCTGCTGCCGCTGCTGCTGCTGCTGCTGCCGCTGCTGCTGCTGCTCTCTTCGCTACTAGTGTCACCACTGGCTTCGCTGCTGCTATCGCTGCTGCTACTGCCGCTGCTGCCGCTGCCGCTGCTGCTCTGCTGCTGCTGCTGCTTTGCGGCAGGCTTTGCTGCTTGTGAGTCCTCTGAAGCTGTACCTACGCTACTGCGAGCTAGCTGCTGCTGCTGCTGCTGCTGCGCTGCAGTTGGCTGTGTTGGGCTGTCTGGTTGTGTGTGGCTGCTGCTTTCCTCGCTGCTGCTGCTGCCCTCGCTGCCGCTGGCACTGGCGCTGCCGCTGCTGCTGCTGCTGCTGCTGCTTTCATCCTCGCTGCTGCTTTCCTCTTCCTCCTCACTGCTGCTGCTGCTGCTGCTGCTGCTGCTGCTGCTGGGCGGCGGCTTCTTGCTGCGCTGCCTGCTGCTGGCCTTGTTGCTGCTGCCGCTGGAGATGGAGCTGTCGTCGGACTCGGTGCTGCTGGTTTCTGCTTCTGCTGCTGCTGCTGCTGCTGCTGCTAGGGGGCCGCATGCAGCAGCTAAAAGCCCCAAACTTGCCACTGCCTTCCGCATGAAAGAACCTTCTTCTAAAGAGCTGAGGACTTTCTCAATGTTCACAAGTGTGGGGCCCCGCGCTGCATGCAAATGCGCATGCAAATATGCTGCTGCATGCAAAGGGCAATGTTTGTTCAAATATGCTGTTGCATGCAGACCAGCCACGACTTTTTCAGAAAAGTAAAAACAAAAAAACAAAAACAATAAACAAATGCAGAGTTTTAAATCTAAACAAATTAAAGTTTTCAAATACACAAACTTATACTTGTAGATGCATGCAGTATTCATCATTCCAGGCTGTTGCCAGCTGCTGTCAGAAATCCCCTTAGGGTTTAGGGTTTAGGGTTTAGGGTTTGCGAAGCCTCTCCTGCTCAGCGGAGCAGCAGCAGCACTTAGGACTAAGGGATTGGGCAGCAGCAGCTGCTGCTGCTGCAGCAGCAGCAAAAACAACAAAAACAAAAACAGCACCAGCAGCAGCAACAGCAGCAGCAGCAACAGCAGCAGCAGCAACAGCAGCAACAGAAACAGAAGCAGCAGCAGCAGCAGCTCACGAGTTATGTTTTGCGTCTCCTTGAAAACTTCAAAAGAAGCAGCTTTTGTCTCCTCTTCAATGATCTGTCTGTACACCGGGTGCCAGCGGGTCTGCTGTTCTTCTTTTTCCCTGAAAAAATTAAATTCAAATTTATTGAAATTTAATTTTAAAACTATTTAATTCAAATTTAATTAAATATTTAATAAGTTCAAATTCAATTAAAGTAATAGATTCCAATTTAAATACAGATATCAAATAAATTCAAATTTAAATAAAAACAAAAGATTCAAGTCCAAGTTATAGTATTCAATTCAAATTTAAATTAAAATATTTAATAAATTCAAATTTTAATAAAATAATAGATTCAAATTTAAATACAAATAAATAAATTCAAATTTAAATAAAATGTTAAATTCAGATTTTAATTCAAATTTAAATTCAAACTATTTGATTAAGTTCAAATTTAAATTAAAATATTAAACTTTGATTTAGGTAAAAAATATTCAATTCAGACTTAAATAAAAAATAATGAATTCAAAATCACTTAAAAGGGTTTTATATTTGTTTTATTAATTGTTAAATAATTAAACTTGATGGGGTGCAAGGAATTGTGTTTTCTTTGCCTTCAAATTGGAATTGCTTCATTTCTTTGTCCCCCAAACCCTAAACCCTAAACCTTGAATCCTAAACCCTAAACCCTAAACCCTGAATCCTAAACCCTAAACCCTAAACCCTTAACCCTAAATGCATTTTTCAGGGTTTTCCCACTTGAGTTTTTTCTCCCTTTCCCTTTCGCTCTGCAGCCGCTCAGCCTTGAAGTCCAAAACGCTCTTTCGAGAACCCTGAGGCAAACCCTAAACCCTAAACCCCTAAACCCTAGTCCCTAAACCCTAAACCCTAAACCCTCAGCCTTTAGCCGCAAACTCAAAACCCTAAACCCCTACACTCCAGGCCCTAAACCCAAGACCCCAAATAGCCCAAGCCAGACACTAAGCCGCAGCCCGGCAAGCCTAAACCCTAAACCCTAAGCCCAAAACCCCAAACCCTAAACCCCAAACCCTGAACCCTAAACCCTAAACCCCAAACCCCAAACCCTTAACCCTGAACCCTAAACGCCAAACCCTAAACCCCAAGCCCCAAACCTTAAACCCTAAACCCTAAACCCCAAACCCCAAACCCTAAACCCTAAACCCTAAACCCCAAACCCCAAACCCTAAACCTTAAATCCTAAACCCCAAACCCTAAACCCCAAACCCTAAACCCCAAACCCTAAACCCCAAACCCTAAACCCTAAGCCGTACTCTGCGGGTGTGTCTCTTGGCGTTGGAGCTTTTGCGTCTGTGGAGGCCCTTGGCATCTCTTCTGTGTTGTCTTTGTGTTTGTTTATTTTTCAAAAGTTGCATTTGTCTTTCTTTTTCTTCTTTTAGAATTTGCAAAAAGCCCTGCGCAAAGGCCTCTAGCTGCTGCAGCATTTGCTGCTTCTCCCGCGCAGCCAAAAACGCAGCAGCACTTCCCGAACGCATGCGCTGCTGCCACGCAGCCACTGCATGCAAAGCCCCAAACTCTGCATGCGCTGCATGCGCAGCCCCGTCTTCCCCTGCATGCGCTGCATGCGCAGCCCCATCATCCCCTGCATGCGCTGCATGCAAAGCCCCAGGCTCCCCTGCATGCGCTGCATGCAAAGCCCCAGACTCGGCTGCATGCGCTGTATGCAAAGCCCCAAACTCGGCTGCATGCAGCGTCGCCTCCTCTTCAGCGAAGAACACCCCGCGCTGAACGCATGCAAAAGTTTGGGGCTTTGGGACTTTCAGTTTTATTCATTTAATTGAAATTCTATTTTTTCTTTTCTTGAATTGTTCTATTTAATTGATTTATTTACTTCTTTTTGCCCTTGTGCATGCAGAGCTTTCCTGCAGTCCTTTTAAACCACAGAGGGCCATTTCATTAGCATTAAAAAACCAATTAGTGTTTATTTATTTATTTATAAAATAATAAATAAATAAATAAATAAATAAGTGAATAATAAATAAATAAATAAATAATAAATAAATAAATGAATAACTAATGATAAATTAATAAATTAATTAATGTTTCTCACCTTGTGCGACGCTAAGGGGCCGATGGTAGCCGTCTTCTCGTCGTTCACCATCTGCAGTGCAGCAAAACCCCAAATTAGGGTTTAGGGTATAGGGTTTTGGGATGAGTTCGAAACGTAAGCGCGACCAGGCTCAGGTTCAGGTCCAGCGGGCTGAGGGTTTAGGGCAGATCTTTTAGGGTCTATGGTCTCTAAGGCGAAAACAACTAGGGTCTAGGGTTTAGGGTTTAGGGTTTACCTCTGCCAGCTCGGCGAAGTGCCTGTCTTTCAATTCTTTGATTTCTGCTGCTTCTTCTGCATCGAGCTGCAGCAGCAAAAGGAAAACAAAACACGAATGCAGAATAATAAATTATTTATTATTAACTAGGGTTTAAAATAATATTTATAATAATTATAGTTATGTTTAAAGTATTTATTTTAAACCCTCGAAAAAGATTCCGCGGCTTTGCACTCCTGCATGCGCTTCCGGTGTATGGACACCCCAAGTGGTATCAATTCTTAAACCCGCAATCCTTTTTTTATTTTAAAATTAAATTTATTTAATTTGAATAAACAAAAAAAATAAATAAATATATAAATCATCTGTAAAAGACATAAATAAATAAATAAATAAACACAATAATTAGTTTGACAGAGGCTTCAGGCTGCTGGATGCATTGCATGCAGCATTTGTGTAGCGAAGACTTTCAAGAATCCAGCCAAAACCCTAAACCCTAAACCCTAAACCCTCGATGCTCACCTCGGCTGTCTTTGCATCCATGGCTCTCTTGATGTATTCCTGATTCAGGTGTACATACAGCCAGAAAACGCATGCACTTTTAAATAAAACTACGCAGCTCTAAAAGCAGCAGCAGCAACAGCAGCAGCTCTAGAAGCAGCAGCAGCAGCAGCAGCAGCTGCATAGCAGCAGTAACAAAAGCAGCAGCACTTTGATGAAGAGGAGGCACAGCAGCAGCACCCGAGAGAAAAGCAGCAGCAGCAGCAGCAGCAGCAGCAGCAGCAGCGCCCCTACTACTACTCCTACTACCAGCAGCAGCAGCAGCAGCAGCAGCAGCAGACGTGCTGACATCCGCGTTTTTCGGTTCTGCTCTCGAAGTTGCTGCTTCTTCTTCTTCTTCTTCTTCTTCTGTTTTGCTGCTGTCATTTTCTTTTTTGAAATCATTTTTATTTTCTTCATTTTGCTGCTCTGCTGCTGAAGCTTTCGCAGCGCTGCACACCCACAAACCCTAAACCCTAAACCCTAAACCCTAAACCCTAAACCCTAAACCCTAACGTCTCAAGCCTAAACCCTAAACCTTACCGAGCGTCGAACCAAGCTGGGCCTTCCCTCAAAACCCTAAACCCTAAACCCTAAACCCTGAAGGG